AGTTTCTCCTTACGACACACTGTCACCCCAAATGATTCAGTCATATCGATACCTTTCTTTGCTAATTCCACAGGTAGCTCCCAATTGAAGTGGTAGATAAGGTTTGCAAGCATCACTTCAATAGTGGAAGTTGCAAAGTGGGTTCCTAGACACATCCATCGCCCTGCCCCAAATGGTAAGTATTGGAAATTGTTTCCCTTATTGTCCATAGCTGCGGCGCTACTGCCTTCGATGAACCGCTCAGGCATGAACTTGTCCGCTTTCTCCCAATAGCTAGGATCCCTTGCAAGAGCCCAGCTATTAACAATGGCACGTGTTCCCGAAGGTATCGTGTACCCTTCAATGTTGCAATCGGCCATGGATAGGTGGGGCACAAGGAGCGGTGCCGGCATATGGAGTCGGAGTGTCTCTTTGATGACTGCCTTTAGGTAGGCTAAACTATTAAGGTCGTCTTCCGTAACTATCTCTTTTCCCTTGGCTATAGTGCTTCTCACCTCGTCTTGTAGTTTGTTCAGGAGGCAGGGGTTTTGCATGAGCTGAGCCATCGCACATTCCAGCACTATGAATGTTGTATCTGTGCCAGCTTCAAACATGACCTACATGCATATGGAAACATATATATAATAATAAGTATATATTTTTATATACATGTAGGCGGTAGTTGTGGGTGAGGTGACGTCATCATATACCACCAGTTGTGCCTTAATATGATCTCTAGTGAGGTTGTACTCTTCTTGAAGGGAGAGCAAGACATCGATGAAGTCACTCTCCTCCCCGTCACGTTCTGGTGCTGGCTTGCTTGCATGGTCATCGATGAGTGTATTGAGCAAGTTGTCCCACATCTTGTTCACCTTTTGTGCCTTCGCACACACAATCCTCTTGATGATGTCCAGCTTCACCAGCATCAGGAAGTAGTCCTCTAGGTTGAAACCCCCTATGAGCGACGAGTTCGCCTCAACGAGCTCCTGGAAAAGTTTATTCCAGGCCTTCCTCCCTGAAGAACTTGCCACACACTGCGTGGCAAACGATATCGTTGGCAAAGGAGATGAGCAGTTCGCTTAGGTCAATAGCGGTGCCTACGGTGGCCGCCTCGCAGATCTTAGCCACCACCAACCTCACCTGTTGTGAATATTTTTCAGGCAATCAACTTCATCTATTGAACAATATATATATCAGTGATTGTTCAAATTGACGCATGGTTATTACCTCATGCTCGCGTGCATGGCGGTAGGACTGGACCTTCTTGTTGGTGAGGAGGTGTGTGGTGACGATCTTCTTGACCTGGCGCCAGTGCTCGCCGTAGGGCGAGAAGACGACATCCGTGGAGCCGTAGAAGAGGATGTCGGTGACGGGGGAGTAGGCCCTGGACGCGAAGATGTGGTGTTGTGTGCGCAGCACGGCCTGGGTGGCGCTCGGCGAGGAGACGATGAGCGTGGGGACGGCACCGAGGTGGAGGAGCATGAGTCCATCGCGGCCATGCTTGGCGGAGAGGTCACAGAGGGAGACGTGCGGTAGGGTGCCGTCAAGGTGCAGGTGGCCAAAGATGGGGAGCTGCTTGGAGGCGAAGACAGCCTGCTCAGCAGCTGTTCTCTGGCACTTGCGGTGGCCGTCGTTCCAAAGCGGCGGCACACGAGGAGGACGAGAAGAGGACAGACGAGCAGGACAGAGAGCACTAGGGCCACCTGTGGCGGTGGAGACTTCGCCTGCAGCAGCTCCTCGTGGTGGCCATGAGCGTGAGCCATCACTGCAGTGACAACGTAGTTGGCGCAGCGCTTCCCTTGGCTGCAGCGTAGTTCAGTTTACTGATGATACTGAATTGAATGATGATAGCTGGGCTTGTTTATCCAGGGGGGCTTTTTAATAGAGAGATCGCCAGATACCTGGTGATTGCACCAAGAATTAAGCATCTTTCTTGTCCATAGTTTATTCAAAAAAAGCTGCAGACAGACGTAGAGGGCCACGACCATGAAATACTATTTTTATTACAAATATAAACATCACAGTGACTCTTAACTGCTTTGGACGATGAGTCTACGACCTTGTGAGCGAGAGCCCCCCCACCCCTCACCGCCGGCGCCCGCTTCGGCACCGCCGGCCACCAGCCCAAGCCCAAAACCAACCCCCCCGACCCCGCCAGATAGCTCTCCAGCAGTGACCCAGCTGGGCGCCACCTTGACCGCCCAGGGTTGCCCGTTCGGGCTGGCTGGATCTGCGCATGCTGAGGTCGGGTTCGCGGCCGCGGTCGCCGCCTCGGAGGACGAGCTCGCGGGCGATGAGGCTGCACTAGAGCAGCTCGACTAGTGCTCCATAGACGACGAGGATGGGGCCTTCGGTCAAATCGGTGCCGCTGCAGCTACGATTGAAGTCACGGAGCTGGTGTTCCCAGGCCGGCAGGCCAACCAGAAGGGGAAGGCCATCGATGGCGGGGCATCGGGTTCCTGGCCAGGCATGGGGAGCGTCTTTACCATAGTTCTCAATACCGGCTGAAAACCGCCGAAAACAGGTCAATATCGGTCCTACGGTCCCCTCTGTTATTGGCCGGTATTGAATGATATTGTAAATTTTGATTAAAGTGCGGCCAAACTTTAACCGCTATTAGACCGGTATTGGCGAAATTTCGGCCGAAAATCGGCCTACTGGTCTTACCAGCCCCATTTTTGCTTACACCGAAATCCAAAACTATGGTCTTTACTCCGCTGGATTCGAGCGAAATGAAGCGACTTGATTATGCTCTTCAACTTGTACTCTATCTTCTTCTTGATTATGCTCTTCCACAACATTTTCATCCGGAGGTGGGTCAATAGCAGCCGCCTTCTTTGCTGCTTTCTGAAAAAGGGATCGAATGTCTCCGTTTCTTTTCATAATTCAAGACTCAAGAGTTCTGAAAAAAACACTCGTCAATTATCAAAACTAACGATCGGAAGAAACCTGGAACTGAGGAAGAACGGGGATGGACGGGAAGTATCACCTGAGGAACTGAGGAAGGACTGGTGATCAGTCTTGCAGCGATGGCGCGATCCAGGCGCGGCCGAGCCAAAGCGCAAAGCGACGGGCGATGATGTGCTCTGCTGGTAGGGCGGCGGCGGGCGCTCTGGGCACGGGCGCACGGCACCGAGCGGTTTAGCTGGGAGCCGTCGCTAGCGCACGCGAAGAAACCTGGAAGTTCTGGTACGACACGTCGTAGACGAGGCCTGGGTCCAGCGCGTGCTTGGGCCGGATGTGGCCCGAGCCGTAGTCCATGGGCCCCACGACCGAGCAGACGTCATGATGTATGGTTGCCCTGCGAGCCGCGACCGAGCGTTGCTGTTTGATGGCGTGAGACGACGTTTACCGACCACCCTGTCGGCCTGTCACCCGGTTACTTCCGCGCCGGGCATGCACCTTGGCACTCGTCAGCTCACACACTGGCACTCGTCAGCTCACACACTCGCCATGCAACACCAACCACTCGTCAGCTCACACACTAGCACTGCACGACGACACGCTGCACGATATCTCATCAGAACTCGCACCAGCTGAAATTAAAAGAAGCTCCATTGTGTCTCGACGACGGGTGGCCACGTTGGGTGGTCGGTGGACCACCCGACCACCCACTAGGTCCGCCATGGCGGCGCGATCGCCCGCCTCGGAGGACGAAGCTCATGGGCGATGAGGCTGCACTAGAGCAGCTCGACTAGTGCTCCATAGACGACGAGGATGGGGCCTTCGGTCAAATCGGTGCCGCTGCAGCTACAATTGAAGTCACGGAGCCGGTGTTCCCAGGCCGGCAGGCCAACCAGAAGGGGAAGGCCATCGATGGCGGGGCATCTGGTTCCTGGCCAGGCATGGGGAGCGTCTTTACCATAGTTCTCAATACCGGCCGAAAACAGCCGAAAACAGGTCAATATCGGTCCTACGGTCCCCTCTGTTATTGGCCGGTATTGAATGATATTGTAAATTTTGATTAAAGTGCGGCCAAACTTTAACCGCTATTAGACCGGTATTGGCGAAATTTCGGCCGAAAATCGGCCTACCTGTCTTACCGGCCCCCTCCGGTATTTTTGCTTACACCGAAATCCAAAACTATGGTCTTTACTCCGCTGGATTCGAGCGAAATGAAGCGACTTACTTCAGCTGAGGCGGGTGGCGCATGCCCTGGCGCTACCGCTAAAGTGGGAAAGAGCAATGACGGAGATCCGGTGTGTCCAGAGGTGCGGCCGGAGGGTGGTGTCTCGTCCGCGGACGCTGATGGAGACGCGTCGGCCGCCGCGGCCTTTACTATGGCTGCTGCTACCGGCGCACCAGCAGGCGCGTCCGCCGGCTGCTGATGGGGACGGGTAGAGCGCAGCGACATCTACTGCGGCAGCTGCTGAGGGCACGCCACCGGGCTTCCAGGGCACGCGACTGTCCGGCGGGCATCAGGTTAACCATTTCCGTCCTCACTCTCACGCGCCGGCCTCTGCGTTGTATCGCCCCGAGGCGCCGAACGCTCCCATTCAGGTCTCGGCGGCCAGGATGACTTATTGCGACGCCACCCGTACTCCTCCTCGCCCGGCGTCTGCTCGACCTTATGCGCAACCAAAATGGCAAGCAGGGACTTCGAGATTCCAGAGGAGTGGGAGCTCCTTCCCGTCTTCGTCCGCGGCCTCCAATGGCACGATGCTTATCCGGGGCAGGCCGGGGCCACCGGCGGGCTATAAGAACACGTTCGCTGGAAGGTGCTTCAGGTGTCTTGATAACGACCACAAGTTAGCGAACTGCCGTGACCCACTCCGTTGCTTAACTTGCTGGCGTTTCGGCCATCTTGCCCGCAACTGTCCGGAGAAGAAAGAAGCGGCTAAACGTCCTAGTATCCAATCCAGACTCCGTTTCCCTAAGCCTAGCATCCACTCTAGGATTTCCTTCACTGAGCAACAACCTCCTTCCATCCACAGCCGTCTCGTCTTCCCGCCTATCAACGAAGCCGGTGCTGCTGAGGGGGGTCAGGCCGCGTAGAGTGGTGCCGTGGTGGGGAGGGAGACATGGCCTACTTTCCTGGGATGGCAAAGAACCTCCTGGAGGAGGGTGCTGCTGTGGTGATCTCATTTGCCACCATGGCCAACGAGGTCGACAAGTTTCGTTCCAGGGCGATCCTGCTGGTCGCCTGGGCCGACATCAAGTACTTCAACATCACCATGGGCGAGGTGGCTCTGGCCTTCAGTAGCAGGATCCGCATCCCGCGCTACGAGGCCAGGGTCATACGCCACCATCCGGAGCACTTCACGGTCCTCTTCGACTACCCGCCGCAGCGTGACATGCCGGTTCAGGCAGGCATCCTGCGTGTCCGCGGGATCCACTTCGACATCCTGCCATGGACCGAGACGCAGCACGGGAGGGACATCACCTGGTGGTACCGTTTGTTGGTTGCCATCGAGAACCTGCTGATTCATGCCTGGAACCCCCAGGTCGCCCGGTGCTGGGAGACGACTGCCTCTTCGACAAGATCGAGTACGCCACATTCAGGCAGGACGCCACTGACATCTTCTTCTGCTGGGCCTGGATGTGGAACCCGGACTTCCTCCACCGCACCAAGCGGTTGACCATCTTTCCGACGGGGCAGGGCAGTCCCCCGATCTGGGTGGCCTGCTGCAGTAGAACAGGGAGGTGGCTCCTCCTCCTAGGGGGCAATCTCACAACCTCATCATCCACCTAGACCGGACTGAAGATTGGAGTCCCCCGCGTGATCGCACGCCGAGCTCGGCCCAGAGCGGGCACCCATCCTCTGGGTCGTCTGAATCGGAGGAGTACCCCTAGATCTTTGATTTCGAGGACTGGGTGCCGGGGGTCATCGACGGCCACCGTCTGAGACCCCGCGAACAGCCATGCCATGCTCTGCCGCTGCAGCACCAGCGGCGCCACCCTGACCAGGATGACGACGACGGTCACGGCCCCAGGGGGCCGTCCCGGGGGATTCTGGAGCGCGGGCGGCAGGCCTTCGTCATTCTGCGTCGGGTCGGAGGAAGCGCCAGTGCTGGTGGCAGCAGGGAGCGCACTCGCTCCCCATCGGCGTATAGGCGCAGGGACGCTGGTGATCAGGAGGTGCCTATGGACGGGGATCGCGGCAGAGGCGCTGTGCGGGGTGTTCGGGGCTCGCCTAGAGCTTGGGACCCCCCGCGCAGGGAGGACGCGGACTGGGAGCGTCACCGCTCACGGTCACCTCTCAGAGTAGCCGGACAGGAGAGGTGCAATGGCAATGACGGCGAGACGGAGGCAGCCCCGGTGATCGATGACCTGGGCTCGGCTCTGCTCTCGGGTGCGCTGCATGGCGCGGGTGGTGTGCCATCCCCGCCAGTGCTGCACCCGGACCCAATGATGGAGTTTTACAAGGGACTATGCAGCGATGACATTGGTGGAGTCGTAGCGGAGGGGGCAACCTTGGGCTGGGATCCCATGCTCGGTGAGGCCTCGGCAATGTGCCACAAGATGGTGTGCAGGCCCCTGTCCTTCTCCCTGCCGCCATTCCCACCAGAGGAGACCCCCGGCTCGCCTGACTACACCCCGGTTTCCACCCTCTGGGGCAAGGTGGCTGATCTGAATGAGGAGGCGACGGTGCTTGGCTATAACAATGTAGTGCACTTCGGTCCTGGAGTGCAGTTATCTCAGGAGATTGGGGGTCAGCTGAGGGAGACGGCAATCACTGAGCAGGTGGCAGACATGATGCTTGAGGAGCGTAGGAACAGCATTGTAGAGAGCATCTTTGTGCCATGTGAGCAGCCGCTGCTGCAGGTGCCTGAGACCGGCAAGACCAAGCGGGAAGACTGGGCCGAGCAAGACTGCAAGGAAGGAGCAGACCAGGAGGAGCACCAGGCAGCAGGTGCTGACCAACTCGGTGCCAGTCTCCAAGAGGGCCACCCACCGCGGCACCGCCTCATCAAGGCCTTCTAGGTGGTTGGCCCAGCGGAGCCAGTTGGGGAGCAGGCTATGGAGGCGTACATTAGGTCCTATGACGCACCGATGACGGATCAGCATATCAAGGCAGTGCGCATGCCGACCTCCCTGGACAGTGGCCCGGTGCTCGCAGCAGCAGCACACCTTGCAGCTGTGCAGGAGATGACGGGGGCTGAGGTGGTGGCCGCTTGACTGGGCGCTCCTCCACCCCGTGCGCCGCCCTCCGGCCCCTCCCTCACCTCCGCTCTTCACCCCTGTGCTGCCGAGGTGGCCGCTCACGTGGGCGCGGTCGCCTCCGAGCGCCCAGCGACTTGCCGTCATCTCCCCGACGGGCAGCGCACCGGGAAGTCCGTGCGCGTTCCCCCACGGGCGTCGTAGGCGGTCATCGCGCCGGCGCTGGCAGACACGGCGTCAAGACACGCGAAGCTAGAGGCCGGTGGGAGGCTGCGACATGGGCGGCCTGCAACGACAGGGCGGCAGCGTGTCGCCGGCGAGGGGTGGCCGTGACCCCTACCCCTGGTGCTACAACCGTAGATCCGCAGCTGGTTATTCGGTGAGTACATCAATGCATTCCCTTAGACTGCAATTTCTGAAATTGTTTGCTAAGGGGACTGTGGATTTTTCATCGTGATGATTTTGTAGCAAGTTAGTTGCAGAGAGGGAGGATGCTGCGGAGACGGTGGTCGTTCCTGCAGGTGACTGCGGCGGCGGTCATGGACGGCAGCTGCGGCATCAGAGTGGACAAAAACGGTGGTGTCAAAAGATGACTATTAAAAGTGCAGATAGGCTCTATTGTTGATATATCGATGGTGTCAAAAACGATGTGAGCCATTGTTGATGCATACAGCCAACTCCTCTTCCACACTGCAGGATTAGCTGCTCGAAGGTTTCCCCTGCATCTACATGTACATGTGGATATAGTACCAGCAGGCCCGGATACTTCCCCGGCTCTATTTCTCAGCAAGCTTTGTAAGCTTTGTTGCTGATAGATATCCAGTTCCATCCAATCAGATGATTGGGCTGCACCAGAAGCAATCTCGTAAATGCTGATATGTTGTCAGCTAAGGAGAAAGGCCTGAAAGTAACTATATGTGGAGCTGCTGCTAATGATTAATCTGTGTAGTTGTTTTACTTCATCCAGTTATTGCATATTTGGTGGCTTATGAATTTAAATCAAATGACTCCTAATGAATCGGGTGTGCATAACTTGTCATATTTGAATAAATATATTTTTTTCTGATCATCTGCAAATAGTTGCTGAATTCTAAAACAAGAGTAGATCCTGTCTCCTCAACCATCTAATTTTTGTGGGGCTGTTGTTAAATCAACATGCACAATATCTTGTATTTCCACCCAGTGGGAGACATAAGATCCCAAATGCTTTACCGTTGCATGTCGGTGACAGTGGTATTGGTTCAACAAATAGCCCTGGTGAAATGCGCTTTATGCTTGGATAATTTTTTCACTATCCAACTGCTACTTTTTCTGTTTATGATACATGTCACCGTCCTTTTTATATGCACATGCCATTTTTTCTGTTTTCTTTGCCACAAGGGAAAAAACAGAAAAGCTCCTCGTCATTTGTTTGTATTGTCAATTGTCTAATAGTGGCAATGGTTAACATGAGATGTTTGAATGAAATCCTTGTCAAATACAAAATAGTTACTGAAAATCAAATCAAGCTTAGATATTGTTTTCCAAAATATCTGATTTCTTTGGGTGTTCTCATTGAACCAGCATCAGCATGTGTGTCATTTTCTTGTTTCTATAGGTTAGGTGCCAATTTTAGACTCTTTGTTCTTATACACAAACACCCTGCAGGTTAAGGATGTTATGAAGAAACAGAATGAACTTCCTCTGTGCCAGGAGGGAGATATGATAATGGACCAACTCACGGAGCTCACCAGTAAAGGTTGTGGTTGTCTGCTTGTGGATAATGAAGAGCATCATTTGTTTAGGACCTTCACTGATGGTGATATCCGGTAGGCACTGAAGGTAAGTGGGCTAGGTTTGTGGAACATGTCAAATCAACTTGGAGAGATGTGCAGAAATCAGGTTTTACAGTTGATTCAGTGACATTGACTGTAGCTCTCTATGCTGCATCAGATACAGGAGACCTTCAGGGTGTGTTTGGTTGAGCTGTGGCTGTGGAAAAAAGCTGTTGTGGGTTGTGAGCTGTGGGAAAGCTGCTGTGGGCTGTGAGCTATAGAAAAGCTAAAAGCTGTTTGGTTAAACAAGTATAAAATATACCTTTTATCTTTATCTCTCTTGAAACAACTATGGAAGAACTTTTTATTCCACCAATTTCGAAAAGCAGAAAGCCAAAAGCCAAAAGCAGGGTCAAACCAACTTTTAAAAATGTACTACGGAAAAGCAGCTGCTTCTGAAAAAACAGCCTCCAAAAACTGTCCCTTTGGTTGAGCTTTTGATTTTGGGGCCAAAAGCCAAAGTCAAAAGCCCAACCAAACAGACCCTCAGATGGGTAAAACAAGCCATGGTTATCTTATAAGGCATGACATTGAGGATGAGGGCTTGGAGAGCTATCTGATTGACATGTATGCCAAGTTGAGCTGTATAGAGAGAGTGTTTGACGACTACAGCTTTTCAGGCTCCCGTTTCACTTTTTGTTATATACTCTTAGGACATTGAGTTTTTAAAATTTTTGAGGCTCCCGTTGCGACGCACGGCCCCTTCACCCCCCATCCGTGGTGAAGCCCGACTCCCCGCCTCCCCAATCCCACGCCCACTCCCCCGACTCCCCAAGCGCGCAGACTGCTCCCACGGTCCTACCACTCCCTGCTCTGCCCCGTCGGTCGTCACCCTTGCCCCGCGCCTCTTGCCGTTCGCTGCCGCCGGCTCCACCTCGCGCCCCTCCTTCCCCGCCTCCGCCCACCGCCGCTGCCCTGGCCCGCGTGCCCTTCGCCCGGTCCCCACCGGCTGCGCCCGGCCGAGCCACCACCGCCCACGCCTGCGGCTGGTGGCCGATTGGTCCAGTGCGGGCGGCGCGCGCGGAGCAGGCTCGAGCGGCAGCGCGCGCGGAGCAGGGCCTGCGAGCGGCGCGCACGGAGCTTATTCGCGGGGACGCACCAGGAATGGGCCCGAGCAGTCGCGCGAGGCCGCGCCGGAGCAGTCGCGCGGTGCCGTGTCAGCAGGCGCTTCGGGGCTGCGGCGGCACCTCCTGCGCAGACGCAGACGAAGCCGCAGGCCTCGGGTCCATCGTCGTCGTCCAGCCATGACCCGGTGATCCTGCAGTTCGGCAAGGCCAGGAGGCCTGCGCTCATCCCGCTGCAGATGAAGGTGGTCGACCTGGCCGATTGATGCTTAATAATGCATTGATTTAGTACCGTGCAGCCTGAGTGCCTGTCTGGAGTATTACTGCCACTTTTTCCATCCTTGATAACAGGGAGAATGCTGGACAAAAGCAATGGTGACATAGCTGCCGACGGGTACAAGTAGAAGGTGAAAAATTTTAGCTCTGAGGGCAATTTTTCTGCTGGTATCGAGCTGCTTGTTTCTTACTGTGCCTGTCAACTAATAACCTTTTGTCTGATCTCTAAATATTTTTATTGAAAAACTCTGGAATCTAAATATGAAAATTGCTGTACTTAGTCTTAACATATAATTTGTTGTATTGAAGTACTGTTACTACTAAGATCAGCATGCTGAATGTTTCAGCATACGGAGAGGAGTTTTCTTGATTTGTTTCTTGCTTTGACCTAAACCATCTTATGTTTCAGGATGATGCTAACCTCATAACTGACAATAACCTGGAGGCATATAGATTCTCTGTCTCCTGATCCAGGCTTATACCAAGTATAACCATTTCTTGTGCAGAAACTTTATCGCGTATGAAGCAACAAATTTCAAGGATCTTCGGTTAACCTTTCATAAGTTAAATACACAGATGGCTAGACACGGTATGCCTATTGCAAATAAATTTTGAATGGTAATTGTATGAACATAAGCAGCAAGGAATATCAATAACTATTGGGTTCTTCAGGTGTCCAAGTCCCTCTGTTTGTAATTATATGACATTTAGGATAAGCTAATGTATGTCATCTATGTGCCCACGTCTCCTAAAAATGCAGGTGCCTGCCTTTGAGGCACCAGAATGAGTGAGCTCTTGCTTCCTTTCCTACCAGCCATCCCTTTACTACCACCAAGTATAGTTTGCATCTGAAAGAACCCAACCCCTCCCTCACCCACTCATGTTGGTATTGCATTAGTACTAAAAAGGTAAAAATGTGTTGATCGTTGATTTAATCATGGCTACAACTGATATAGGAGATATGTCTTGGTCCAATTACATTGATTCAATCTCCTTTTTTTCCAACAGGCATTCTTGTGCCACTTTAAAACCTGAACTCGGCAGCCACAAACATGAGTGATAACCTGAACTTCGAGCAGATGAAGGGTGTTGTACTTGAGCATTTTCCTGTAACTTATTTGTGTAGTATTTTAACCTTTGGTGTGAAACAATGGTATTCTAGCATATAATTAATTCTTTTGATTTGTTGGAGGTTCTATATTTAAGTAGTCTTTCAAATTTGCTTCATGCTCGGTTTAACATTTTCTGTTTGTTCTATGAATGATCACTGAGATGTATGGGTGAATTTGAGCATTGATGATATAATAGCAAGAACAATGAACCGCTTTTCTTGTTCCTATACGTACTTGTCTGCTCTAGCTCACTACCAGAATCGAAGACTTTGCCGAGTGTCATATTCTTTGTCGAGTGTATTTTATTCGGACACTCGGCAAACCATCTCTTTGCCGAGTGTCAAACTAAAAACACTCGGTAAAGATATAGACACTCGGCAAACTCTCTGTTTGCCGAGTGCCTTAATAAAAAACACTCGGCAAACATTATGACACTCGGCAATTATACTGAAAAACACTCGGCAAACTCCGGCACTCGGCAAATATGGGAAAAACACTCGGCAAATTACGGCACTCGGCAAACATCGCGCCACGTGTCCCTCCATTGCTCTTTTGCC